TTATACACTGAATATATGCACATTAGTTCACAGTCTGCTTTTATGTATATCTTCATAAAAGACTATATGTACCAAACGTTATATTCTGATTCTATTTAAAAAAAGAAAATGAAATAAAATGAAAGTGAAATAAAAAGAGAAAACGAATCTCCACTTACCATCAAAAGAAGCAATTAACCATGTTGCAATTGTATAAACTGTGTGAGCTACATATAAAGAGATGGACAGAGACACATTAAGAAATCGTTTTGGGGGAAACTGATTTTATTCCTTCCTTCATTCCTTATAAGAATATTTGTGTTTTTTTTTTTCCTTTTATGTCATGCATCTTGTTTTGTTAAGAGCCACATGAATACGGAAGTTACCTTATTTAGCCTGCATTTAGTCCTTGTTTGAAAAAGTAGACTTAATATTGTAAAAGAAAAAAAAAACAAGTAGCACTTTAGCCATGATAAGGGTTCTTTTCATATATCAGGAAGAATACAACAAGATTTAAGTTCTTAAATTATGATAATCGCCCTTTTTTAACAACTGAACCGATTGATCTTAAATAAGAAGAAAGGCTGATAATTCACAAGACAAAGCTTTGTAAGCTAAGACAGTGCGAAATTTGACACTTGTTATTATTCATATATGAAAATATAACAAACAAGAGGCCCAAGGGCATTAACGGTCACCTGAGTATAATGCAACACTTTAAATGATCCATAGAAGTATAAAACAAAATTAAATGATAGACGAAGGAATGTTGCCCAAGAATTTCAAAAATCTGGTAAAAATACCTTTGCTTATTCTAGACCCGAGTGATCTCATTGGGATCATACATAATTTTCCCAAGTCTTACAGGGATGGTAATGAATGCAAAACATACAAATACAATCGACACTTGCCTATTGTGTAAGGTATTCAATATATACAGTTATGTTTTTGTCACTTGCCTAGTGCTACAATTTAGTACACACAGACTTGGGTTTACAACGTGCCTATTTGCCACTTGTCACTAATTACAATAAGTCATCCTGACTCTCTGTGACTCTCTGTGATTCTTTTTTCACTTTGATAAAGTATAAAACAACTGTATACAGTCTCTTGTCAACCATGACAGTGACAATAACTTAGATCATCACAGTGTAAACATGCAGTATACAATTACAACTTTGCTAAATATATAAATAATCTTTATGTCAATCTTTTACACTGCTTTCCAGGCAAGAATCTGACTTTGGGCATTCTTTGCTCATTTAGACCACACATTCATTTATTCATTTTTATTTTGTAAGAGGCACTCTTCCTCGTCATAACTATGTACTTAACTCATCGGCTTGATTCAAGGAACCACTGTCTGTTTTGTTGGGTATGCCAGGGACATGAAAGATGGTTGGAAACGTGGGATAATTTGCATAACAGGCGAAGTCCGTTATGCATAAATTATCCCACGTTTCCAACTGTCGTTGATGTCCCTGGCATACCCAACAAACTAGACTGTGATTCCTCATATTTACATTTACATGTTAGATGAAATTGAAAATATAAATTTAAAAGATTTAAAATACACAAGGCCTTCCATGTTAATTTCAATAACCCCGCCCACTGACGTCACACACAAAGACAGCCGCACGATATTGACATGCATAAAAGTCTCCTGACATTTTACCTGACGAAATTAACATTCCGGTTGAATTATCAAGAAATCAGCTCTCCTAACTTTTAAAGTTATCAATGAGAAAACAATTAGAAATATAAATATTAAAATATGCATGAGAGGTGAAGGTAACATTGTAAGAATGGGTCTAAAATTAAACTTGCATAAATAGCAAGTCTTTTTTCACATCTCACTCTCTATTCCGTATGATACAAGTATACTATTAACTAAGAATTCAAAACAAAATTAATTATATGATCACGTCCATGTATGTATAGAAGATTTTAAACCAATGCCTGACAATCAACGTGTTCTAACACGATGTCCTAATTTGCAAATACATGTAACATGCTAGCTTTTACGTCATTTGACGGGGTTTAGTTTTTTTCAAAGTTACTTGAGGTAAGAAACCGTGTGGTGAATTATAACATTCAACATGTCACAGCCCTTGGTTACAACAGAGAGAGCTAATGAAAGAAGAAATAGTTTTTCTCTTTTAAACCATGAGCTTATGTTTATTTGACGCAACTTCACTAATGTCGTAAACTAATTTTACGACTATTATCAATCGGAGAAAAATAGACAAACATGCGCTGACAATGTATAAACTTGGTTATAAAGTGGGCGTCCTCATCATCTTATGGTGATTTAAGAAGTTGTTGTTGACCCCTGACTATGAAAACAGATTTGTACTTTTGTAATTATGTAGTAAAATTGCAGACTGAATGTTGACCATTCATGCAATTAAAAGAAAAAATGCTCGTTTAGAATATTAACTGTGTATTTTGCATATCCTTAATACAGTGCATTCATCATTTGTCTCAGTGATTCGTATAGTTGGCTAATTAATTCTGGAGGACTCATGAGAAAACTATGACAGGATCCAGCTGTACTACAAACTCAGTAACTCATATACAGCTCTTGAAAACGGATTAGAACAACAATGCAAAAATACATATGTAACTGTACAGTACATGACTGGTGTGCCACATTGTATTGTATGTTTATTGTTTAACGTCCCTCTCTCGAATTTTTCCACTTATGTGTAGATGCCAGCACTTGCCTGTGGAAGGCTACAAATTTTGACCTTTACTCGGCACTTTGGGCCATTGAGCAGTGAGGGATCTTTTTCGTGCCAGCACCTACTGCGACACGGGACCTCGGTTTATACAGTCCCATCCGAAGGACCGGTCTCCACGTTCCACAGTGGGAGGTGTGCCACATTGATAATATAGTTAAAAGTGCTCCCCTCAAAATAAAGATTAAACAAGAAGCAAGGTTATACAAGCTACTAACCTCGACCACGGAACCACCATCGGACTGAATACTATAACTTGAAAATCGAGTGGTTCTTAAAATATTCGATATATAACGATAATATAAAAGTGTATTATATAAATCTATTCTCTTGGCTATCACTCATTCTAAACACTGGCTCATATCATCTGTTAATACTGGCTACACATGGTAATCCTTATCAGGAACATCGGACCTTGAGTCATTTGGGTTTTTATTCGGAACATGTACACATCCTTTTATGACAGTAATCTTATGATTTGTTGCTTCAGGGACATATGTTTATCACTCATTGAATGGGGGTATATTAAAATTTTTATCATAGTTTAATTGTAACTATAGATACATATTTACATTGCAAATGTTTTATTTTATGTAACATTATTAAGAGCAATGCGTATCTATATCCGTATAAACAAGGGTTCCCCGCGTCATAATGGTTCAACGTAATTTCTCAATGACGTCATAAAGGGTCGACGCGCAATCAGTGGATCAGTTGGGTTTGAAAAATAAAAAGTTTCACGCGTTAAAGATTATAATCAGGTAAATATGAACAAGTCACAAATGTAAATATAAGTAATAAGGTATCATTTTAAAACATCTATCGGGTTGGTACGAGATCAAATTTATCATAAAGCCCTTCGGGCTTTATGGAATTTGATCTCGTGACCAACCCGTATTTATAGCCCGATAGATGTTTAAAAATGATACCTTATTTCTTAAATGTATCCTATACGTCTCAAGGACAGTTTGTGATCTGTTGCATTATGGGATATATGTTTATTCCCATATTGCAACTTGCAGTTTACAAATGTATGTGAAACTTACCCAGTACTTGTATGTTTATTGTTTAATGTATATTGCCTTTTTTCTTCGTGGGTCTAAGCTTTCCCTATTTCAGTCTAGACATTAGTGTTCATGATTTTCTGTTAAGAATGAGTTTTAATGACTGGAAATTTGGATTATCCCTCTTTTAAAAAATATTGTAAATTTCTCATGTTTATATTTTGTGTCTGTTAGAATTATATTGCATTATTCATGTTGTTGATATTACTTTTGAAAATTTCAAGAAAATTATTAAACGCCATAAAAGTGGCACGACATGAACAATTGTCTTACAGCCTTTATTCATTGAAGGAGGACAAGATGTGGCGTTATAGTGATGAAGGGACAAGGGCAAGAACTAAGCAGGTAAATGGGGTTATTGGGCTATCAAAATACTCATTGCATTAATATACACCTTTCCTTCTGCCAGTTCAATGTGCTACACAAAATATGACAAGAAAAAAAACAAAACATGTTTTTGAAATATTGATGTCCCCATATGGCAGCTTATGGCAAATGCAATTTTTTTCAAATGCAAGTCAATCTACAAGGACAAGAAGTCAAAAATATTGGTACCTGAAGAAAGGACTTGTCTCAAGGGATATAACAATGAAATTTGAAAGCCCTAGCACCAAACGTTAAAAAGTTATTGCAAAGGTTAAAGTTTTTTTTTTTCTAAAAAAAAGTAGATGAAACTCCTAGGTCAAGCTTAAGGTCAATTGGTAAAAAATGTTGGTATCAAAACGCGAAGGTCTTGTCACAAGGAATGAAGTTGTGAAATATAAAAGCCCTAGCACCAACTGTTCAAATGTTAGGACCAAGGTTAATTTTTTTAAAAGTAGGTCAAACTCAAGGGTTAAAGTCAAAGGGTCAAAATCGTTGATGATCAAGATAAGATCTTGTCACAAGAAATACACAAGTGAAAAATAAATATGAAAGCCGTAGCCCGTAGCACCAACCATTAAAAAGCTATTGCCAAGGTTAAAGTTTTTCAAAAAGGAGGTCGACCTCCAAGGTCACAGGATCAAAATTGTTGGCATCCACGGGAAGGCATTGAATAAATTTAAGATATATAAAATAAAAAGGCCCAATACTCATACAGATCAGCTAATGAGATTTAAATGAGCTTAGGTTTAGATAAAAAAAAAAAGATGAATTATGCATCTAAGAACACAGCCCTTTCAGTAATCCAAAGAGAGCACTGATTTCACTTTACAACGAAACATTAGTAACTTACCCTAAAATATGTCGTCAAAAGTCACATAGGAAAGAGACAGCTTCTTGTGTTTACAAAACCACTTTCTATATCTTTAATACATTTGGAGTTAGTGCGTGTAAAGAGATTGCTCACTATGTGGAACAACAGTAATTGCATTAAAGATGTGCATAACCTTGGTGACAGCACAACTGTTTAGATATTAATGTAATTAGTTTAGACTGTATCGCGTTGGTACACCAGAGCGTGACTACTCAATGTGCATGTGGTTTTCTTATTATCTAACATGATTAAGATGTTTATTGTGAGATTATATATGCTGAGTACCCTTCTCTATCTGTCGCTCGCCTTCGAGATACTAAGCTGTACGAATTAGAAACTTATATTAACGAGATACAATGTAAGGGGCAGTTAATAAGAAATAATAAATCGTATAAAACGAAATCTCCTCCTAGGCATCGGATCCCACCTCTGGAATTTCCAGGATTCTGTTTTTTATGCACTGTTCACAAATTTGTATTGTTTGTAGATTTTTATGAGATCGATCAGTGTTCGTTATCTTGTCATATACGAAGTCGTACGTACATGTACGGCATAACAAGTTGTAAAAACGAAATAATAATTTGTAAATGCAGCTAGACAATATATCATACACTTGTACGAACACCATAAGTCGTATTTACGAGATAAAATAATGTCTCGCACAAATAACATAATAAATCGTACTTACGAGAAACAGTATGTAATATGTACGATTTCAGTAGTAATAACGATATAGTTCATAATAACGATATATAAAGTCGTTTGTGTGATATAATAATTGGTAATTTCAAGAGTATGTCTTTGTAAAAATAATAAGTCGTACAAACGTAGGAAGGATGTTCTAAGTGCATGGTAAGCACTACCATTATGTCGTAATCTAGAGATATCAAGTGTAAGAAAACTTATAGGTGGCTACCCTTGTTGTGTTATATCGTCTTGTTTATAGGGGTCTTGACATATAAATTTTCATAATTTCTTATATTTACATGTACAGTATTTATGTATTGTATTTAGGCGTCTTTACATAAATGAATTTAAAAAAAAAACTTCTTTTATTTGATTGATTTTATAGTATGGATTATATCGACTGAAATAGAATATTGATTTGAGAATATTGATCTTAGCATCATAACTAAGAAATCAATGCAGTAATCTCAACAAATATGTATATCCATAGTATTTATATCGATAAATATATATGTAATATTCCAAGGGGAAAAGCGTGAAAATATTATTCGCGAACTAAGTTCGCTAGCGCGGTAATTCTAATGAATCATCTCTTCACTCAGGATTTAGTGAAGCCACATGTACAGGTACATTGGACAAAGTATAAAGTATCAAATATTTGCTCTAATATATATTAAAGAGAAAAACGTTTTGGAGAAATAGGAGTTGAGGACTCATTAGCAGTTAGACTGTCCTCAATGAAGCAAATATCATTTTGCCTCTTTCTAATTAATAAAGAAAATGAAACATATACATGACTAGCAAACATTTTGTATAACTTTTTTTTTCAATTCAAAAAAAAAAAAAAAAAAAAAAAAGAATCATCAATCCATATCGTATGCTTTTAAGGTATGCGTAATAAATATTGTGATGAGTAAAATAATTAACGACAGCCTCAACTCCAACACCCTGATTTCAATGTTCTACTAAAAATACGAATAGTACTAGGCTATTCGTGGATGCATATGCATAGAAAGTAACAATGTTAAAAAAAGTGACATTGGCTACATAAACTCTGTAAACGTTTGATGTTTTCTTATAATGTGGTAAACATAGGAGCTGCTTTTTTATTTTATGGCACCCATTTTAATGGTACCCTTATCAGTACCTGATTTATGGACTATTTAATTTTAGGGGGTCAGTTTGCATAACATGATGCCATTACTTTTATTTGTTCAATTCTTTTTTTTATAGTCTCTTCGAATGATGTGCATTTTTGCTTTGCGTTGTTTACATGAATAATTGACAATTTTTCAATGCTATGTTACATTGTTTTTTTTTTACTCCATCAAAAAATTCAGCCCAGTCGCTAAATTTGACTACGAGGGTTGATCAAAAAGTTAGCGACAAATTACAATTTAGATGAAAAAAAAAAGAAAAAAAATTGGCGCATCTATAGATATAAACTTATTCTGTTAGTAGTATGTGTTACCTAATATTTTGCTCCATGTTTCTGATCTCACTATGTGAAAATGATGTCCTTAAAATGACTATGATATGTGACAAATAAAGTTGACTCAGTCCTACTCGAACAAGTATGGGCTGTAACGTTTTATATAAATCTTGAAAAATTCTTTGCAGTGACGTAAGATGATTAATACAAGGTTTATGGCGACAAAAGACTTGCCAAAAATAAAAAAAAAATCAAAGAGTAAATGGCTGAATTGTTTTGGTGAAGGAAGCGAGATAGTTAAAAGTTATGTTCATTTTAGCTGTCCAGTGAAAGTGAGTTTGGAGAGATATGAACTGGGTACGTTAAATTAAAACCGGTTATCGGCCCTGTAAAATCAGCAAAAATTAATCACACGTTTACATTTTATCAATTGTAACAATTCATTGTCAAGGTTTCCCTGTGTTTGAAATGGGTTTCCATTTTTTTTTTTTTTTTACAAATCACGTGCTCTTTTATTTACATAATGTTCTAAATCAGTCATATTCCGCATTTCCCCTATTTGGGGTGTTTTTGTCCTATTCAAAGTTAAATTTCGATAAGGCAATATCCAAGTGTGTATACGAAACTTTACAGAAAGAGCAATCATACCCCAATTTCTAATATAAGAAGAAAAAATGACCTTAAAAAGGGCGGCCACAGTCGGTTTAAAATAATTCTAGTTGGAAATACTGCATTTTTGGATAGGCGTCACATTTTCTCAACAATAAAGTTTCTACTTTTTAAGAAATCTATTATGTATTTTTGTATCTGAAGGTTTTATTATCTTCTAAATTCAATTCTGCATTAGAAAAATGATTCATTGCAAAGTATGCCATTGGAGATTACTCCGTTTACTGGTATCACATATAATCCGTTGTCTGTGAAATTTAACATGGAGCATTACATGTAAATTAATGACCTTTAAACACATGACGTCATAAAGATAAATCACGTTGTATATATTTTCTAGAGCACAACTTTACTAAAATGTCCCTGTCTTCATTACTTTGGTAATTTTGTAGTCAATATTTACGTACATTAATTACGACATAAGCGGTTATGATTATGACGATCAAATAACATTGAATTACTAACATCTACTTTTACATGTAATAAAAACGTTTCCCTCACTTTGCTTTATTTAAGTATTAAGAAATATTCAATTACAGACCATGCTTCTCAACCCCAGATCCCATTTTACAGACGAAATCATGATTAAGGGGAAAAAAAATTTCTCTACTTTTTGTCAATAAACATCAGCTTTCTTAAATATGTTTTATTCGTTTTCAATTTTAATTGTCAGGGATCCATAAATATCAGAAGACAATATTTGGAAGAAGAAAATACGAAAATTATAGCGCCGCCAATTTTGGGAATGGAAAAAAAATCAAAGAACAACGTACAGTTTTAATACAAATCTGCCGTTTTTTTTTTTTTTTTTCTCCTCAAAAATATGGAAGTGATGTAAGGGACTAAAACTCATCTTTTCTGAATCATTGAAATTCCATGCAGTTAGAACAAACAAATTGTTTTCCTCAGTTGACCACCTAAATGCTAATTGTGATGTCATGAACTTGTGCATTTTCCCGTATTTTCTTAAAAAATTGCAGAAGACATAAATTTTTAGTGGAATTTTTTTTTTTTCAGATAATATACAGCACATCCATCGCCCACTAAAATTTTGAGAAATGTGATTTTTCAAAGGATTTTACACAACATATCTGAAAACTGAAGTGGGCGACGGCTGTGGACACTGTTTTCGTAAGGTAAATAACCTCTGAAATGAGTCATTTTTAGGCTTTTTCTGTTAAAACTTAGAAATGTACCAAATTAATGACGTCATATTTCCAGAATGGTCCTCCATTATGCTAAATTCTTACATGATTTATCGCATTCATATACTCAACTAATACTTAAGCCAATTTCATAACTTTTTGAAAATATTAAATTTTAAGGGCACAGAAAAGCCCAAACCGTACCTTCGTCTTTTTGAAAAAGAACTTTATGTAGGAGGTTCCAATTTTTTAAAACAGTTAACACATTTTTTTTTTATTTCTCTTAAAAATTAAAATGTAATTTAATAGGCAATGTGAGTTCTGGTTGGAGATAAATAATTGGAAAGTTCTTGCATATAAAAATTTTGAATGAAGTGAATGTCTCGTTTCGTCTGCAAGGATGAATCAAGTTTCATTGCTTGTTTGATGAAATCGTTTTATCAGAAAATAACCAATTTCTAAAATTTATTTCACTCTTTCCAGTTATCAAAGATACGGTGAATTGAGATAAAAGTTCTAAACTCTGTGTGTGTGTGTGTGTGTGTGTGTGTGTTGGTTTCACCGATCTCCCGAGGACTATGGTGTGAAAAAACACCTTTACTCCGAGGACGTAAATTTCTTCCGAGGACTTTTTCCACGTCCTCGGAAAAAAATTGCTTGTATCGTCACAAAATATCGAACTACATCACGTGGTGAAATTTGGTGAAAGTCCTCAGAAGAATAGTAAGATGTGAAATTGTGTTACACCATCACACACTTTTATCGTCTGCCATAACACACATTTGATATTTTAGACGCGCGCTGATGCGCGCGCATCCAAACAGGATATTTCCGATGCGCACTGATGCATGCGCATAGGAATGGCGGAAATGATGAAAGGTCTTGACTTTTACGTCTCAATATGTAAGTATTCACAATATATTTACTTAACGTTGTTTTCATTAATGAAAATAAATAATCTTAGATAAAAAAGACATTTAACAAAGAATTTTAATGCTAGTATCTGTACTTACATGTAGATGTAAACAGATAGGACATACACGAACATTAATAGGAAAAGACATAAACAGATAAATGATAGATCTCATTTGACTACTTAAAAACGTG